AGGAGGTGGAGAAGGAGGAGGAGGAGGGGAGGAGGAGGAGAAGGTGGCGGAGGAGAAGGAGAGGAAGTTTTTTTCCTGTATCTGCAAACGTAAGAATCGTTAAATAAACTTGTAAAAAGGCAGATTTCTTCAACTTTCATAAATCTTGCTACTAAAATGAATAAGTGTTCTGTATGTAATCAGGTGTTCTCTAGGCTTGACAACATGCGAAGACATGAACTTTATATGCATAGCAGTAACGACACAGTTAAAAGTAATTCTCTATTACAAGAAGTAACTGAAGGGAAAACTTCAGAAAAGATGACATTTCAGCACCCTTTTCCATGGTTGTTTCCGGACCCAATGGTAGTGGAAAAACAGAATGGACCAGAACACTGCTGTTATCTAACCTAGTACGTCACCCGCCTGAACGCATCATATGGTGTTTCGGACAATGGCAACCTCTGTATGACGAACTTCAGCGTAGAATACCTTGGATAGAATTTGAACACGGTATTCCCGACTACTTGAATAATCCCGAGTACATCAACGCCAGCAAAAGGAACCTAATTGTTTTTGACGATTTGATGACAGAAGCCAAATGCGACCAGAGAATTGCCGATCTTTTTACTAAAGGCAGCCATCACAGAAACGTATCTATCATCTATCTCACCCAGAATTTATTTCCTCAAGGAAAAGCTTGCAGGGACATCGCTTTAAATACCCAGTACCTGATATTGTTCAATAATCCTATCGACAGACAACAAGTGGCGACATTGGCCAAAAGAATATATCCCACATCCAGTGCCATTTTTATGAAACGGTTCGAACAAGCTACGTCGAAACGTTACAGTTATTTGGTAATAGATCTTAAATCCAGTACACCTGAACATAATCGTTTACGTAATGACATTTTTGAGGCCAACAATCCAGAACTTAGAAAACGGATGGATATACCTCCGGAGAATCAGTTACACGGTGAAGGTAATTCGTCTGACACGACGATAAATGACGATGATGATGATGATGATGAAGATGCAAATGATGATGAAGATGCAGATGATGATACTGATAAAGAGCATATAGAGGGTGGTGATATAGGTGTAAAGAGACAAGCTTTCTTTATGGGACCTCCTGGTAAGCGTATAAAAGAAGAGCTCAAAGAAGAACGCAAACGTCATGACATATGGGATAGAAGATTTCAAAAGCCTTTCCGACAGTCTTGTAAAGAACAATTTAAAGACGGGCTAAACAGTTACATAGATCAAGAGTACTCTTTTGATGAGGCTTAAGCTCGCACTGCTAATGATGCGTTGCCACATTTGAGAAAGAAGATGAGACAAAATTATGCCCAGTTTCTGATTGCCTTTTACGCATTACAAGAAGACCCCACTCAGCAACAAATTCTCCAGTCAGCGAAGAAAATTAGACATCAGCACGACATGACCATTGAAGAATCTATCCGACAAGCCGTTAAACTTAGAAAAGACCTGTTTGAGGCGTTATGGCCCAATCACGACATCAAGGATTGTAATGGTGAGAATAATAAAGATGATGACAATGAAGATCACATATCAGATGAAGAATAAAAATACCGTAAGAATGATCTTTGCTCCTTTACTTTCAAAACACAACATGGGTTCCATAGAGGTGTACGATCATAAACAACAAAAATTGGGTGCCGTATATAGATGACCCAGATAAATGGTATCAGCATTTTAAAGATTTGAGAGACGGTTACGTGACACCCGATCGTAGAGGCCGTTACATTATAGGTAGCGTTAAGTCGCGTAGAAGGCTCGTGACACTAGAAACGAAGCTCAAAGAAACGGAGAAAAAGCTTAAAGAAACGGAAGAGAATCTTCAAAATGCACAACGCCCGGTGGTTAATATGGTTAGCCCCGTGGCACAAGCGGTTGAAATGGCAAAGTCGGAAGTAAAACGATTACGAGATTCCAATATTAAAACGTCGGCGCCTAAGAAGCGTAAAACGGATATTGACTGGACTCGGTTCACTTTCTAAAATGGATAATTACCAGCTAGAAAATATATTGAAAAGATACCCAGTGTGTGCGGCTGATGAAATTTGTAAACAAAACGGAGATTTGTAATTTCAAACACAGATACGAGTAACGGACCGGGAAAACATTGGGTAGCCTTCTATTTTCCTAGACACGGACCTTACGAATATTTCGACTCGGTTGGAAATAGTCTAGAAAGCTATGGCGTGGGATTTGAGAAGATACTTAACAAGAAACATCTCAGAAATTACGGCCAACTACAACAACTTTGTGTGCGGCCTCTACTGCGAATACTATGTCATAAAACGATATCAGGGAAATACTTTGAAAGACATCGTCAAAGAATTTGATCCGTATCAGAAGAAGCACAATGATCGTTCAGTAGTGTCTAAAATGAAGAAACTAATTAGAAAAAAAGAAGTGACAAAACAAGTATATCACTAGTTTTAAAATAATGTTCTGTATGAAATAAAAATATAAATTACCATGTGTTTTGTTTTCATTTATTCCCATAAGAATAGCCTTATGCTACTGCTATTGCCCCGGAATACAAGACAACTAGTCCCCGCCGCTCTCTGTTTAGTCCAATCATGTTGCAGTTAGACTTATGAAAATGTGCAAGTACTATCTTATCAGTGACCAATCAGAACGCTTCTTTTACTCCATTTATTACGATTAACCGTAGCGATTCATTCATTGCCGATTAAGATAGCGAGGAGTAAAGGCTGGGGTAAGCTTATTTTAGTTATTTTAATGATTTTTACGCATGATTGATTTCACTTGCGGTTTGTTAGTTCCAGCTTGTAGCATTTGTCAAGACCTTTCGTTTGATATGCAACATGCCCATGTTATGTCCAGAAATAAGCGGAGAATTGTCATTTAACGCATGAGTGATTTTGACTTCCAGTATGAACTTTACTATCAACAGCGTCTGAAAGTACTCTTAAATACCTTTAATTTGATACCAAGATGGATACAATCGACCCATAAATAAGGACGCCACACTCATTTGAATATTTTCAAATAATTTAGTGCAATAACGCTTTATCTTACATCGGTGGTTAAAATACACTAAGTCTATATCTGTAATATCTCAGTAACTCATAATGATAGACCCATAAACCTATACTTTTTCTGAATCTACTCGTCGAGATCTTTTTAACGGTATATAAATTGAAGGGTTTTGTAAACTTTGAAAATTTGGGTTTAAAAATCGCTGTTACGTAATAACTCTGTAAGCGTTGAAAATCGAATCGACAATGGGGGTGTAAATTAAAGGTATTGAACTGTTCTTTCAATTGGTAGTCAACAATTAAAAATCATATCGTATTCGGTTGCTCTAGTAACCAAAATATATATTTTTTACCCACGAGTGACTTAACATCCGGTTTGATCGCGTAAGTAAAATGTACTCGTCGAGACATTCAATTTGATACCAAACAAGACTATGTTTCGTTCATGAACGAAAAAGTTATGCGCATTTTTCCGCATGATTGATTTTGTCTGCCATATTCAAACTCTCCTATCTCAGAAACGGTAAGAGATAGATCCATATAATAATACATTTTCTGTATCTACTCGCAGAGATCTTTCAAACAGTATATACATTTCAGGGTTTTATGGTCTTTGAAAAATTTGTTTAAAAATCGCTAAAGGGCCATAACTCGAGAACGGCTAAAAATCGAATCGAGAACCTAGGGTTTATTTAGAAGCATTTGGTTAGGTCTATCAAATGAAAAAAATATCTTGAAAATCGATATCGTAAAGTGTTGCACAAAAGACGAAAAACGCTTTTTCTGTTGTATTTTTGTTCGGTTTTAGTTACCATTAATAATAGTTGGTTTTTATAATTTTGCACATTCGTGATGATCAGTTTTCAAAACATGTTGGCATTTCTTTTCCAAAATATGTTTAAAATTATGCCCCAGTGGTAAACTGACACTTCAATAGCTTATTGCTTACCCGCTTTTACTTTAGACGGATAAACTTTGACAGTTAAATGGAGCATTGTTCGCATATCCGTCCCTAAATAAACATACGCCAGACCAAGTGGCTACTTTAAAAGGATTAACTTTAACATTTCAATAGGCCATTGTTAGTGTTTCCGTCCCTAAATAAACACACGCCATACATTGTGGCGACTTTACACTCGTGATCAGAGCATGTAGAAATAATACACTGATGATTTGTGTCATTTGGTTTCGGACCGCCGAGGAGTAAACAAGTAGTATTTTTATTCAATGTATATTATTTATTTTGACCATATTAAAAAACATAAGCTATTTGTATTTTTTTTTAATTCTAGTTTATTTGCTTTTATTAATTAAAATGTTAAGCAGGTATTTATTTACAGACATTTCTTTTATAAATGAGGATATTTATCTCTCCGTCTTGGGCCGAGGACCTGACCTTCAATGTCCGCGATTCAAGCCCTAAGATCGGGTATACGAGTCAGCTCCGTATACTTCCGGGAGATATTATTCATTCACGTTTCTATTTATAACGTGATGATGTCATTCCAAAAATAGAACGATAATGTTATTCTAAATATAGAATCAAATATGTCGCCGCGCGTCTGTTATTCAACACGGCCGCCGCGCATGTGTAGTAAGGTCATTTCTTCTATGTAAATGTGTTACTATTAATAGAAAACAAAATGGCCGCCGCGCATGCGCAGTCTTGGGGGTAAAGAGACCCCTATACTACTTATGTATAAAGGTTGTGTCATTATTTTAAAGATACACAACTTTTAAAAAAACAAACATTTTTTTCTTGTTAAGTTGACACGTACGACATTTTGGACGAGGAAATCAGCTCCGTACATAGAAGAGACGGAGCCTGACAAACAAGGTAAAGATAAGGAGAATGGTTTCACAAATCTTGCAGCAACAGGTGATAATAACATGCACGTGTTCTCCGTGGAGGAAAAACATCACTACAGGGACCCGAAACTTGATGAACCAGAAGAAGATAAAGGTTTGACACCTATATTATATCTAAATTTCTAGAGGCAGAAAAATTAAAATTAGAACTTGAATTTCAGTTTAAATCCTGTATCAATCCAGTATCAATCATTAACTAGCACTTTTCGAGTTTCTCACTTCTGAAAATCTCTCTTTTATTTTATTTGAGGAGCAAGCTTTTTATTAAACAGAAACAGTCAGTCTTTCAATGTATATAACGATTTACTATGGCATTTCTTATCCTTTTAATAGCATTATTAATATTTTAATTCTTGCTTTGCAGAGATGCATTGCGCGGGAAAGGCGCTGAATTATGTGTGTGGAATCACAAACGAGGTCGACGAAGAAAAGGAACGGCAACTGCGGTTACACATGGAGAAAGTTGCGTGCCTTAAACAAAACAAATACGCCAAAATAGGCCTAAATATTGGTTTAGTGACAATTTTATCACTCGGTGTTTTCTTGTATATATTTTGGTCCTTTTGGAAATATGAACCCTGAGCATTGCTGGTGTGTTCAAGTTGCATTTGACACAAAATATCAAAACTCATGTAATCAGAACTAGCCTAGTGGAGTTATTGAGAACTATTTACATTCTATATTTGAAATATGCAAAATTGTAGAATTGTAATGTATCTCTTCAAAACAGTTTCGTCAACAAAAATTATCAGGATTAACTAGTACAATATGTCTAAATATGTATTAATATTGATATTAAATAATTGATATAAAATGACTGCAGATAACAAGTGTGACAATAAGACCTAATTTAAACTACAATATCAGTATTTTGACACCTTTGGAGTCTCCATATATACATGATTGCGTTTTTTTCTCAAAAAATAACTTTACGTGCCGCTCATGTGAAGTGGTTGTGGTCTTCATCCATTGGTAAAATGTTGCAAAAATCCAACTACAAAGTCAATCTTATATACATGATTGTTTTTTCCTTTCTCAAAAAAATCAAATTACGTGTCGCTCACGTTAAGTGGTTATGGTCTTCATCCATTGGTGGAAAGTTACAAAATTCGAACTACAGAGTCAATCTTAATAAGATAAATCAAAAGACGAATTCAGTTATTTCCTAACGTTTGACAGAACTAATTTTCAAGACCAGATATTGCAGAGGCTGGCTGCATCATTAGCTTTCATGTTATTAACCTCTCAGGTCATGTTATTTCATGGGAATGTTATTTTTTACATACATATCAAATGTACACATATATGTAGTTCTATTAAAGATAAGCTTGATAATTACGTGTGATTTTTTTTCTTGTTATATTCTTTCCAAAATCATGCATGAATTTGTACCACAATTAAGTTCATGTAAAATGAAAATGTAGTAATAAAACCAATAAAATTTAAGACAAGACTTCACTTCTCTGACCCAGCTGTTGATTCATATATATATACAAATTTTTTTTTTAGTGCATTACCTGGCCCAAGATTTGAAGATCAGGATCAAAATTAACAACAAGTGTTGGTGTGACAGCGTGCTCAACTATTCCAAGAGTTTGGTAGTAAAACAAGAGCCCTAGATAATGTAGAATTTTCTAATTGTCCAGATTTGTTCTTAGTGAATAAAAGAATCTTGACATCATCCTAGATTCTGTAAATCACTACATGTTGGCAAATAGTCGTTCATAAACGTGTGGTTTATAGGAATATTGTCAATTTCATTTCTATATGCACTATAGGTAAGTTTAAACATCAGTTAGGACTAGATTGTAATAGAAATTCAAAGCTTACTTGAACAACATAATTGCACCCTCATAACAGAGACATTTTTTTCCAGGAAATTCAATCAAAGATTTTTTCTATGTGATTCAATCGAAGAATTATTCCATGGAATTCAAAGAAATTTTTTATGGGATTTAAATCAAAGAACTATTCTAAGGAATCCAGTCAAACAGTCATGAAACAGTGGTGAGATTCAGAGCAAGATGTTTTAAAGGAGATTTCTTTATTCATCACAAATGTTATTTGCATATTGACATACATAACATTATGTGTCATAACATAATATGTAACACATATATATGCATTTATGATTCTAAACTTTCAAACTGTTAAGTAATATATATGTTATTGAAATAAAAAATATATTCAATAACATTTATTAAATAAAATAACCAAACATGTACATATAAATAACTCTGAACAATACAAAACATTATCACAGTATATATGGACGTTTGAAATAAAAAAAAGAAAATAAAATACTTTTATCTAAATGTTAATGTGAATGCTTAAAAAGTTTATTAGATAAAAGACAACATTTTTTCAATAAGTTTCATACTTATTATCCTAGAATTATTATCTACCATTTAACAGAAAGTAACCTTTATAAGATATACGCTTTTCCATTCAAATTTCACACATTTCAACAATGTTAGGCTTTATATTATATGTGTTAATGTTGACTAAACTAGAATTATTTATAAGCCAAGTTATAGCTATAGGCTTTTACATTTAGCACATTTTATAATAACTTTGTTTAACATATATATGTTTAAAATAAGTAATACTATTATATGTTTTAATGTTGACCTTAAATTCAACATAGAACAAATTATGACAAAATTCTGCACTGTTTTATTATATCTAATAACAAATTTTTTGTTATCACATTAACAATCACGTTTAACGGTATCAGCAGATAACTATTTACATTTTCCAGTTCATACACTCTCTTTTTTTCCAAATCTTCATTATAAAAAACTTTCAAAATTTTCAAAGAATTATGACAACAGAGAATTTATTCAAAGATTTTTCTATGGAATTCAATCAAACATTTTTTTTTACGGAATCCAGTCAAAATATTTTTCCAAGGAATCCAATTTAAGAATTTTTCCATGGAATCCAATAAAATAATTTTCCCAAAGAATCCTGTAAAAGAATTTTTTAAGGAATCCAATCAAAGAATTTTTCCAAGGAATCTTATTAAAGTTTTTTTCAAGGAATCTAACAAAATATTGTTTCCAAGGAATCTAAATAAAGAATTGTTCCAAGGAATCCAATTAAAGAATGTTTGAAAGGAATCCAATTAAAGAAATTTTCCAACGAATTCATTTAATTTTTTTTTCCTAGAAATCCAGTCAAAGATTTTTTTCCAAAATCATTCAATTAAGTTATTGTGACTATATTAAAGTTAAAAGTGACATTATGTAAATCTGTATTTGTGTTTAAGCCTCAGTAACATCTGGGGTCTGTGGTGGAGGTTTATAGAAAGGATCTTTAGGTAACATGATATCTGTTATCTTCTGAAGTAATTCATGGCTGGATCGTACCTTGTTCTTCTGTAAAAGAAAATTAAATTAATTCAACAATTACTTTACTAAAACTTAAAACTGTAATCCGTAATCAAATAAAATTTGTTTGTTAGATTGGGTTTCACGTCTAACCGACACAATATATTAGGTCATTTGGTGATATTCCAGCTTTACTGGTGGAGGAAGACCCAGGTGCCCTTCTGTGCATTACTTCAGGCAGAAACGGGCACCTGAGTACAACCAGCCACGTTCCGTAAGCTACCAGGATAGCTTCCTAACATGACAGAATCAAAAGTCCCTGTGGGGATTCGAACCCACAGCGGTGAGGGGCAAGTTGTTCGAAGTGAACGACCTTAACAACTTGGCCAGCTACGCCCCAGAAAATAAAATGAATCAATAACAATACAAGCCAATGTTAACTTACCCCGACTAATAATCTCATAAGCCCAGTTCCACTACTTTTGTTTTCCATACACAATGTTGTTTGATACTGCATGGCCTTCAGTAGAGCCTCAAGGCCTGTCTCACCTATCTCATTTCCTGTAATATTTTATATATTCAATATTATATATACACAATGTTGTCTGATACTGCATGGCCTTCAGTAGGGCCTCAAGGCCTGTCTCACCTATCTCATTTCCTGTAATATTTTACATATTCAATATTATATATACACAATGTTGTCTGATACTGCATGGCCTTCAGTAGGGCCTCAAGGCCTGTCTCACCTATCTCATTTCCTGTAATATTTTACATATTCAATATTATATATACACAATGTTGTCTGATACTGCATGGCCTTCAGTAGGGCCTCAAGGCCTGTCTCACCTATCTCATTCCCTGTAATATTTTACATATTCAATATTATATATACACAATGTTGTCTGATACTGCATGGCCTTCAGTAGAGCCTCAAGGCCTGTCTCACCTATCTCATTTCCTGTAATATTTTACATATTCAATATTATATATACACAATGTTGTCTGATACTGCATGGCCTTCAGTAGAGCCTCAAGGCCTGTCTCACCTATCTCATTCCCTGTAATATTTTACATATTCAATATTATATATACACAATGTTGTCTGATACTGTATGGCCTTCAGTAGAGCCTCAAGGCCTGTCTCACCTATCTCATTCCCTGTAATATTTTACATATTCAATATTATATATACACAATGTTGTCTGATACTGCATGGCCTTCAGTAGGGCCTCAAGGCCTGTCTCACCTATCTCATTTCCTGTAATATTTTACATATTCAATATTAAATATACACAATATTGTCTGATACTGCATGGCCTTCAGTAGGGCCTCAAGGCCTGTCGCACCTATCTCATTCCCTATAAGTTTTAAAATCTTCAATTTTATATATAGAATATTCAACAAGTTCAAAAATTTAGTAATGAAGCTACATGAATATATAAAGAGTGTAGGTTAATACTTAATTTATTGAACAAGTTGAATAAAATTATATAATACCAGCCTCTAAGCGAGCATAATATTTCATTCAACGGGTTTAATAAATTTAGTTAAGAAGTTATACATGAATTTATTATTCTATCTATAACATATCAAAAGTAGAAAAGTTTACAGTTAAAATGATTTTTTTTCATTGTTTGATTAAAGGTATTCCATAAATTTCTAAATCACAAAATAATATAGCTCATTTAAGAGATATAAGCTTATTCTAACTCTTTTCTTTTGTGTGTGTAACTCTTGAAATAAACATGTATAATGTTTCTTTCAATAAGGCTAATAATTACTAATTCATACACTTTGTTTTTAAATTTTATGTATTTATTTTATGATGTTGCCATGCTGACTTATTGCATATCAATCAATCAATCAATCAATCAATCAATCAATTATTGTGTTTAATGACATAAAAATCCTCGTCTTGTCAAAAACCAAATTTTTAGTATAAATGGCAATGAAAGGCACATTTGTGGAATCAGAAAACAAGAATTGAGTGATTTGATGTAAGAAATTTTCTTGAGTCAACCACAATGTTTATTAAAACCCAAGATATTCATTATCAGTAATTCAACTCAGACCTATAAATTAATTTTTTTTCCCAAAAACTCCAAATAAAGACTATTTACTGGAAATCCAGTCAAAGAATATTTTTCAAATCAATCAAATAAAGAGCTGTAACTATATTAAAGTTAAAAGTGACATTATGTAAATCTGTATTTGTATTTAAGCCTCAGTAACATCCGGGGTCTGTGGTGGTGGTTTATAGAAAGGATCTTTAGGTAACATGATATCTGTTATCTTCTGTAGTAACTCATGGCTGGATCGTACCTTGTTCTTCTGCAAAAAAAAAATAAATAAATAAATTAACAACTAGTTTGCTAAAACTTAAAACTGTAATCCGCAATCAAATAAAATTTGTTTGTTTGTTAGATTGGGTTGAACGTCACACCGGCACAGTATAGGTCATATGGCAACGTTCCAGCTTTACTGGTGGAGGAAGACCTCAGGTGCCCTTCCGTGCATTATTTCAGGCAGAAACGGGCACCTGAGTACAACCACCCACGTTCCGTAAGCTACCAGGATAGCTTCCTAACATGACAGAATCAAAAGTCCCTGTCGGGATTCGAACCCACAGCGGTGAATGGCAAGTGGTTCGAAGTGAACGACCTTAACAACTCGGCCAGGGACGCCCCAGAAAATAAAATGAATCAATAAATATACAAGCCCATGTTAACTTACCCCGACTAATAATCTCATAAGCCCAGTTCCGCTACTTTTGTTTTCCATACACAATGTTGTCTGATACTGCATGGCCTTCAGTAGAGCCTCAAGGCCCGTCTCGCCTATCTCATTCCCTGTAATATTTTACATATAATATCATATATACATGTATAGAACATTCAACATTCAATGAATTTAGAAATGAAGCTACACAAATTTATAAAGAGTGTTGGTTTAATGCCAGCCTCTTAGCAAGCATAATATTTCATTCAACGGGTTTAATAAATTTAGTAATGAAGTTATACACGAATATAATATTCTATTTATAACATATCAAAAGTAGTTTTTTTCATTGTTTGATTAAATGTATTCCATGTTTTACTAAATCACAAAATAACATAGCTCATTTAAGACCACAATGGAGATATAAGCTTATTCTAACTCTTCTATTTTGTGTGTGTAATTCTTCAAATAAACATGTATGATTTTTCTTTCAATATGGCTAATAATTACTAATTCATACACTTTGTTTTAAATTTTATGTATTTATTTAATGATGTTGTCATGCTGACTCATTGCATATCAATCAATCAATCAATCAATTATTGATGTGTTGTGTTTAATGACATTAAAATCCTCGTCTTGTCAAAAAGCAAATTTTTAGCATTAATGGCAGAGAAAGGCACATTTGTGGAATCAGAAAACAAGAATTGAGTGATTTGATGTAAAAAATGTTCTTGAGACATCCATGATGTTTATTAAAACCCAAGATATTCATGATCAGTAATTCAATTCAGACCTATAAATGTGAAGTTATTGTCCAACAACATTGACCTGGCACTCTTGCATTTGACCCCATAGTCGGTAAATTCCGTAAACGTTGCTATCTATTGTAAATCGATATGAATGTATATAACCAGTTGTTAAATGATATTTATTACAAATCCCTCTTAGCACAGTCGTAAAGTGCTTTCACTTCAAGAATATAGACGCACACTCGTAGGTTCGAATCCTGGTTCAGCCACTTTTATATCTTTTTCTTATTTTAAAATTGCTATTTCTCTCTTAACTCGTGCAAAACGTTTTGAGTTTTGGTTGTGTATGACTTTTGATTTGTATTATGGACGTGCTGTCCTTTTTATTAATTAAAGATAATGTAATGAAATAAAAATAAAATTGTATATAAACACTACTTAAAAGGTACCCTAAAAACAAGATGTAGTAAAACGATTTCAAATTAATTCTTGCAAGTTAATTTCAAAATGAAATTAAAAAAATGTATGTCCTCATAACATGGTGTTGGTCAGGTATCGAACCAGGGAACTTCAGATCACTATACCAATACACCACAACTCATTGACGTGTGAAGTTAATAAAGATATCGATATATTCGTTAGATACCACTGTTTATCACCTGACCTTTACGGAAATTAATGAAGTGCCAGGTCAATATTGTTGGACAATACTATGCATTTATATGATTGAAATAAACATTAAAGTTGAATACATACGTGAGAGATTAAGGTTAATAAGAACCCTGTTTCTAGCCACCCACAGTTGACCATCTATATAATCAGCACCTTCAAACAGGGGGTTTATAAAGTCAGGACTGTCAGCTGACTGAAATATAAACAGTTATAATAACAATAATGTTCTGTTAAAATAAAAGTTCATGTTTAACTTTTATTGTTCCACTGCTTTACAGCAGGACATTGCTCTATGTTTCTCATCGTTTGTATGAATTTTTAAAGTGAATTTGTCCATAATTGAATGTCTGTAATACAATAAATTATAATGTTGATAGTATTTAGTCCTATACTGGACAACAAACCACAAAAGGTTTAAACATGGAAATTGTTGGTAGGTGCCAGATATATGACTCGATATTACATAAACATATAATTATATTTATATAAAGCAGGAAGTATTGTTCTAAAACAAAATATTGTAATTTATTATAGATCTATAAATGATCATATTACATCACTTAAAACTCTTATCAACATATTCTATTCTAGAAATATTTTATAATAATAATTATCCAAATGATAGTTACATTTCTATAGATTTTATCAATATTTGAAACACTTGTGGAAAATGTGCCAATTGTAGACCAATCAACTTTTAAAAAAAATGTTCTTACACATAAAAATTTAGCCAAATATACAAATATAAACTGCTTGTATTTTATTGTTATCCCAACCAAGACAATATAACAAAACTGTTCATGAGACAGTGGGCTCAATTGTTCTGAGCGATCAATAGTAAGAAAAGAGGCATAACTCTGTAAAAAGGTATCTCAGGAGTTATGGAACCTGTACCCATCAAGATAGACTATCTATGTAAGATAAACAAAGATAACAAGAGTGCAAGTTTCAACCCATTCCCTTCTATAATTTTGAAGATATCTTTTACACACAAAAACTTAACTGAACTGTGATGGCGAAGCCTACAACGACACCAACACTAAGGTTAGTATAACTGCTTTCGTTATTTTTCCAATAGCTGAGCTAAAACTTGATGCATACACCCAACACATTAAATGTGTTTTATTTTCACAATAAATCTGCATTGAAAACAATGACATCATCACCTTCTAATTTCATAAGAAGTTAACCAGTTATTGCACTAAGTTGATGACATAGTCATAATTGACAATCAACTCACCTCTGTTTCTTGTGTAGGTTTTCCACCTTTTTCTTTACCTTTTGCTTTATTGCCTTTACCTTTAGCATCTGCGGCCAGGGAAGCTAGAACGTGACAAAATAATGAGATATTAAAATATGTTTCCATAGTAACAACAATTTGACCTGTGTATAATACTGTATATAATTTAAAGAAAAGTTTTTTTCCTCATTTTCTTAACATCAAAACTTTAATATTATAATTATTAAAATAGTCTATACATGTACATGTATATTTAATACTTATATTCACTACTGACTACTACCATTAAAAAAAATGAAAATAATTAAGATAATATCTAAAATATTTATTTAAAATAAATGCTTATGAAATAAAAGTCTTTTATTTAAACAATAACAAGAAATTTATTTTTCAATTAATTATTACTGTTTAATTGTGAAGATTGTAAAATATCTTTAATTGGATGAAAGAGCTATTGGTAATTGACAGGAAAAAGGCTATAATTGACTTTATATCATTCATATAGATAATATATACATGCATATTCATAAATAACATCTCTCTTTGGTACATGTGGTAATATCGCTTACTAAATAAAAAAAATTATAATTGCTGATTAACAAGAAATTATTTAATTTTTTGGAGTTTGTTTATGCATTGATAAAAGACAAATATGTCCTGGAATATTTTGATAATAAAAGATAAGATAAATTTTGTATAAAGATCAGTTTTACATATAAATTGTAAAAGTTGTAAAGTTATGGGGTTTTTTTTATAAGAAATATTTCAAAATAATAAATATTTATTGTACATTGTACATTCTATAAATCATATTATAAAGTGCTTATATTGAATATCTTAATTTTACAAATAAATAATGTGTAAATACACTTTATATTTTTTACTTTCAGTCACCTTTTGATTTAAAACGAATAACTGCAAAAAGATGTACAATAAAAAGTTAATTAATTAGAAAACAATTGAACCAAAATATTTCATGAACCATTGCTGACTTCTTTAATTTGACTAAAAATTAATTAATGATATCCAATTTAAACTGTCAATGATAAACAGAGATAAATTATAAATGCAAATTTGAACAATTTTAACACTTCCCTCCCTTCATTTCTGTAATGGACACATCCTGCTTTGTATTTGGAACTGTCCATTATGATACTTAAGGGGAAGTCTAGTATTAAAATACTAAAGTCAATATCTGAACCCACAGTAAACATCAGGTTTATACTACATTTAATACTGCAGACATTTTCACAAAAAATCTTACGACAATTTTTTGTCGTAAGAGAAATCTTACGATCAATCTCCTTTTCACAAAAAATCTTAAGAAAATCTTAAGTGCAAAATCTGTCGTAACTTTTCGATAGGTCTTCTCCGTTCGTAAGTGTAATTTTTTCTCTCTTAAGGGTAAAATATCATGTATCTCTTACCTAAACTGAATAAAAACAAACAAAAAGTTGAAGGACAACTAAATATTAAGCAAACAGTATGCTATAAATAACACAAATTGAGGTATAATTACTTTTCAACATATACATTTGTGATATCATGACTTGATGACGTCACGATGGAGAGGGTTATGAATAGTTTAAAATAATGTGAACTATACTGTAGACTATAGTATTATTGAAAACTTATAATTTGTGCAATTGGTGAGTTCGATTTCATTGCCAGCATGTACTAGTGGTACCTTTTTATTTATTAATAACATAGTAGACCTTCTTTCTGAATCTTTTAGATATATATAATTATCTTCAATCAAGATATAAATTATATCAGTTTGAATCATTTTTTTGTTCTTATTGAAATTTGATTGTGTTCAATAGATATTTCAAGCTCTTGATTTTAAAACCGGAATCAAATATAGAGCATGCACATCACTATCAAATGAACGTTGCTAGGGATGTTTTGTCGTAAGATTTATCGTAAGTGAATTTTTTATCTTAAGATAAAATTTTTAACTTACGAGTGTCTTTTGTGAAAATGACTTAAGATTTAACTTACGATTATCGTAAGTGAAAAACTTAAGATAAATCGTAAGATTTTTTGTGAAAATGTCTGCTGGTATACAGTTCAAATAGCCTGGATTACCGTGGATGACTTCTAACTTAACTGTCATGCAGCAAAATGCAGAAGATTCTCAGGCCAGATATCACAAGCCAAATTGTTTTCTCTCCCAGTTATAAATGTCACAGTGGCTTAAGTGGTCAAGAAAAATCTTAAGCTGCCCCTTTTGTATACTTAGTATATAATAACAGGCATGAGCAAGGTAGAAACACAAACATTGTGTAGCTAGGTAGTCTTTCCTATGTTAGGTATAGTTAAATCTTGATTGATGCTTACTGTCCAAATATATAATTTATCAAATTTTAATAGCCAATTAGTGCATTAAGCAAGAAAACATAGTGTTTTTTGTACGCATAAGTATTTAATTGAGAATAGAGAATAGGAATCTGCTTAGTAAAATACAGAGAAAATACACCAAACATCTAAATAATATATACCCCTATAATTGCTACTCAAGATAATTTTATAATTTAACCCTTCAACAATAAATAAATAGGTTAACACAGAAATGTAACACAAATGTACAACACAGGTTTAACAAAAATAATACAAATTCTATCGAAAATGGCAAAATTCATAAGGCAATAAATGAATAGACACTTAAAGGGTCTAAAAAAAAGTTACTTACAGGAAATGGAGAAAATATAGATAACATTTACAAGTAAAGTTTGCTGGGGTTTGAAAGCGGTATGAAAATGCAGGTAAAATCAAGCTTTACAGAAAGTGACAAATATGTGTTCCTGGGAAATCTAGTTTCTAAATTTATTTACTATAAATATCTTAAAATAAATATAAAAACTTATTCATACCGGGCATTTTGATTTTGGTTTTCTATAATCTTTTATTACAATCATGTAAGATTTTTTTTTTCAAAATAGCCTGAAGGTATAGAGTGAAACGTTTCTAAGCTGCCCCCCTTAACAAAAAAAATAAATAGATAAAAAAAAAATTCTTGACCTAATTGCACAAAAAAGATATCAAATATAAAGAAATGAAACAATAATAATTATAAATTAATAGAAAAAAAAAACACCAGTAGAAAAGAAAATTCAGAAGCAACAATCGACAACAAAAAGAAAATATGTAAATTAAGAGAGAAATTTGTCATTTTCTTTTAATGTTCATTTGTTGAAGTTTGAAGAAGGTAATATAGTAGAGAGATAGGGATAATAAAATGTTTGTATAGTATAATTATCTGTCATACCCCTTCTACTAGAACTGCCATTTTGCATATCTGCTTGATGAGGTACAAATATATATACATGTATATGTACATAATAAAACATTGATGTTATAAATAGACATTTTATATAAACAGTCATCTTAAAAATTAAATTTTAATTGTTATTCTTAACAAGGAAAACCTATTTTTATGCCCTATTAAACAGTAACCAGATGGCATATTGTTCATGATGCCTGCATTATTGGGAACACAACCATGTTTCTTTGTATGACACTATTGAACTGACCTCAAGTCTGCGAGGTGTGTCCGACCTCAAGATTTCCATTGATCAGTGTGCAATCTAGACCTGTTTCTGCTTTTCACTTGTCAAGGGAGGTAAATATTGTAAAAGTCAGGTACTAAGATTATGGAGTTTGAGCTAAGAAAAATTTCTTTGTAACCTTGGACCCTAACCAGGAAGCGTGATGGCTTAAAAGTTTCATTTGCATATTTTTTCATTTTAAATTAAATGCTTTAAAATTAATCACTCATGTCTTACAGGCCTTTTTGATTATATCACAATTATAAACTCTTAACTGTGCAACATCATACAACATAATGCACTCAAAATTAATATTTAAGATTTTAAAACATTTGTGTACTTACATTATTTTGATGAATTGAGTATTTTTAAGACATAATTTAGGATCAGGCATACATTATATCATTGTCTTCGATTTCCTAGAACATACCTTATTAACTCGCCTATAAGATGGACCACTTATAAGACGGGTCCTGATTTTGACTCAAAAAAGGCACTTTTTGCTAACCCCTCTTATAAGACGGGTTGAAATTTTTTTAAAAGGAAAATACTACTGCACCTCAGTTTTTTAATTGAAATTTGTTAAAAATTATTAAAAAATCTATTGACTGATTGGTTGAATGAATAACCTTTTTTTAAAAAAAACATTTGTTACCTTACAAGACACCTTACAAGACAATCTTAAAGTCTCATTCAAATTTCAAATTCTAAATATAATATAATTTATTATTTCAAAAGCTTGGCAAAATAGCAATATATACTTTTGACTATTAGAAAATTACCCATGACTGGTATTTATTATTACATAATAAAATGATCCCCTTAAAAAATTCTTTGAGTATAAAGGTCTCAAAAGCAAAAAAAAGTAAAGAAAGTCTGGGATAATATCATTTTTGATATATAAGATAAGCAAATTGTGCACTTATATATGCTGATAAGTGTGAAAATCTATAATTCAGGAGCAATAATAAGAATGTTCCTATCAAAAGCAAGCAAGTCATACTATAAGAGTGCCAAGGGTTTTTTTTTTTTTTTTTTTATACTTGTTACATTTTTTTTTCTAAAATCAGATTTAGCCCTTTTATGATGCTGCACTCTCATTTAGACATTTATCATAGCAGAGTAAAAAAGTTTTTTTGGTATTTTTTTTTTTTTAATTTGTTCATTAAAATGTGTGCCATAATTTAATGTTTGTGCCATAATTATTTTATGTTGTTAGACACTAATTTTGATATCCAAATGTTATAATAAAACAGTCTGAGTCAACATGACAGAAATGATTGGAGACTACACGGATGAGCAGACTTGGCCTGTTATGCTACACTGGTAACATATACAGGGACCATATTACTAACACTGATAGCCCTCATAGTGCACATTCTCAACTATGTTAAATGATCTACTTAGTGAAAATGCATTTAAAATTGTATCATTATTTTCCTCCTTTTTATGTGGTAGGATTTTAAGGTCAAATGGGGACTTAAATCCCAGCTAAAAACAAAATTATTACTGAAGGACGATCTCATGGCCCTCTCTGCATTATTTCTGGCACAAGTGGGTAATTTGAAATCTTGTGTGGAAAAAGAAAATGATAATTATCAGTTTATATTTTAACACTCTCAAGAAATGGAATATAATTATCTAAGTATGTCAAACATAGAAGTGTTATTTACTATCTACTTTGTGACAAAAATCTCTAACATACAAAATGTGTGCTTAATATAATTCATGAAAATAATCAAATATAAAAAAAGTTGGATATTTGTTCTAGGGAGAAAAAAGTACAAAAAAAATATATGTTGAACTAGAACATGCCTATTCAAACATTACAAAGAAGCTTCATATTCTAGAATGATCATTTCATGATTGCCAGAAATTCTTGCTTTTAAAGCTGAAGCAAAAATATGCCGAACTAACTTTAGAGCAATTAAGTAAAAGATTTGATAAAGATATTTGTTCAAACAAGCAAGCTTCATTCTACAATTTTTATTAGAAGCATTAAAATTAATTTCAAACATTATTATTTTTGTCATAATTCATGGAACGTCTTTTTCTTTTCTATGAAAATTATCTAAAAATAATTAATAAAAAATTTAAACAAATAATAAGAAATAATGTTAATAACGTAATCAACCTACGGGAAGGTCATAAGAAACCCCCTGAACTGCGACCACCCACGTTTGCACCTGCATCTAGAGTTGTAAAGGGAGATAACACACAAGTGATTATACAAAAGCACAACACACATTAGGATAACATTAGGAACTGTCTCCCTTTATTGCAGCTTATTTAGTGCAAAATTGAAACTTTTTTTCATCAAAAATTGTACTGTGTTTATTCAAAAAACTAAATTAACAGTTAAGAAAGGTTAAGAATTGTTTGTTTGTTTAAATCTAGTATGATGAATATTAAGGAAGGATAAGGTAGGGTATGCAAATGAAAAGATGAAAACAAAATAACGCTTAAAAATTAAATTACATAATTTTTTTTATAAAATTCTGAAATATATTTATCAACAGGTTATATCATAATATGCAGTAATGAACAAGATTTCTTATCTCAGCTTCTCATTTAAATTTGTTGTACCATAAAGATATTTACAAGTATAATCAATATGAAAGTGATGCTCATGCAAACTTTAAAACTTCATTATTTACTTTCTTTCACTGAAGAAATATTCAAATAAAACTAATCATATTTATTGAAGGCCTAAGATGCATTTTATTCCTGTACAATATTAAATTCACTATTGTATCTCCAGAATTTCAGAAATAAATTAACTATGTAATAAATGTTTATGCTAATAATAATAGAAGAGTTAAATTAGTCACCGCTGATAGTCACAGTAATAAATATATATTACAATAAAATAATGTTCTTATGACTTAACAGCATTATAAGTCACCATTTACTGCATAAGGTTATACACTGACTTTCCAGAAATGGAGGAGTGACCTCAGTTAGGTGACCCTTTGTACATTATTCTAGTCATTTCTTATCACTTTTCGTGATAAGAACCCTCTACTTTTCGAGATTTGGTTATAAAACGACCATTTGGTTATAATACAGCCACCATCTTCGTATGTCACAGAAGAAAAAAAACATTCTGGAGGAAAGATTGTGATTGTGTAATACCATTTTATAAACATCTTAATTCATTCTTAGTTTTGTTATTAATAACACTAAGACACAAGAACACAAAGTAAATGTTGCAGGCACTGGTTCTTAGTGCTGGGTCGTGTGTGGGTTGCGTTCATTGAACGCCGCCTTTCCTTGTTGATCTTGTTTATCATATTATTTGATTGAGCCTGTTCATGAAGGGTACTGTCAAGTGCAAACTACCGTCAACGCCCCCCTAGCACCGGCATAAGCAGAATTCAACATTTAAACTATTTATTGATAATTGCCCGAAGATAATATAAATATGAGTGCATGTAAAATGTATATGTATATATAATCAAATCATAAGTTTACTTTGTCCCACGGTGCATGTCCAGGCGATGAGTGGGGCGAAACATCGCGACTTTTGAAGCTTATTGTTGAAGTGCACTTATTGAAAATGGGACAAATTCCTTACACAGACATACATTTAACATTCTAATGTTCCGTGGTATACTGCTTTTCACTCGACATACCACCTTTTATCTGTATAATGAACGTTAATTAAAGCAGAGAATGACCTGTGAATTTGGAAAAAAAATGGTATCGTTTTAGTGAATTTCGCAAAGAGTGTACCGATATGGCTATGCACCGTGAAAGTCAAACGTTATAATTTTTTTTATGAATGAGTTAAACACCAATTTTATATTTACGCATTTGTTATTTCTATTATGTTTTTAATAGTTCTATAAATAGATGGTTTTTTATGACAGACCAGACCCAAGCGTAGCATTAGAAATTGTGAGTTAATTGATTAATAGAATTTAAGGCAGAATTAACTTTGACCAAGGATCAAGAAGTATGGACGATTTCTATTGCTGATATGAATTTGTTTGTTCATGTATAATTGTATGAAGACAGTGTTGTCTTTTCTTGTATTCTTTAGAAACATCATGTATTGAAAGCTGTTTTCTGAATTTTTTATTTAAACAGGGCGTTATAACATGAAAAAATTATGCAATCAATTGTGTTAGTAGTAAAGGCTGGGAGCCTAAGACCAGGATTTTTTTTGAGTAAAACTGGAACCTTTAAAGTGCAAGGCGTATATTATTCAAACCAGTTTATAGAACGGGGGCTGTTGCCACTGTGGGCGCCAAGTTTTTTTCATTGGGTAAAGGGAAACAATAATTGGGGTTTAAATATGAAATTTTAAAAGAGACGACTTTTATTTTTCCGCGATAGTCTTATTAACTTGAAAAAAATGCGCGTCGACCCTAACCCTCGTTTAGATATTAAACCCCCCTTTCATGTAGGCCAATAATTTAATTTCACTTGTTTTGTTACCACCCAGATTGATACACATCGAGGCAATAAACCTTTTAAACTGACAGATAAAGAGCGAAACCCATTCATACGGACAAAGGTAAAACTTTATATTTTCACAATTTTACAAAATTGACTATCCTTTACCCAATCTAAACACAATACAGTGTATTGATGTATTTTTTCGCCCACGCGGGAGATTCAACATCGGTTTAAATTATACGGTTTAACAATTTACAACGCTACAGTAGTTAAACGTTATTTATGAGCGTTTAAACAGAGCAGACGACAAGTTGTTATATCAGTGATAATGTTTAAGCAAAACAAGCCGGTTTTTATTTACAAACTTTTTTTCTTTTTTTTTTCATGGTAACAATTTAATTATAACATGTAAATACAATTAATAAAGTAATATTATTTAGATAGTAAATATTTTACACATAAACTCACAAACACACAAAGTATTGTTAATTTAAGGCCGAAGCTTTCATCTTATAGTAAGAACTCAAAAACGTTAAGTCCGGAGCTTTATCCAACTGTTAATTTAGGGGGGAAAATTTTCCTTTTAATTGTTTTTTTCCCCTTTTTGAAATTTTTTAATTTTTTTAAGATAAGGCCCCAAATTTTTACTTCGTTTTTTAAGGGGGGGTATTTTAAACGAACCTTTAAAAAATTCGCCTGAAACGTTTAGGGTATGCCCTATAAATATAGTTTTAATGACTGATACCACAAATTTTCCCAATTTAGATTTAAAAGCGTTTAAATTTTAATCGATTTTTGTGTTTGGGGTTTTTGAGCCATTAGTTGATTTTCGTACTTCTTCTTGATTACTGTCTTTAACATTTTGCGGTCTCATCCAAAGTTCTATGTTTAGGTAGGGTTAAAGTGTCGGCGATGTCCGTAATGTAATAAGAATGTATGTTTCTTTTAGACAAAAGGCTGATTGGGGTTTTTTAATCAAAATCCTTTCCAGATGGGGACCTTTGGTTTCTTTAATGAATGTTTTCCTTCTTCATAAGATCTTGCACTTTCTTAGCTTTAAATTCTTAACCTGAAAATACACAGAAGAATGTGTTGTAGTTGTTAAAACAGTCATATACATGTAGTTGTAATATAACACTTGACAAATCATGCATACCTTTGTCGGTCATTGATTTGGCCGCCGATCGTTTTGAGGGCCCAAAAATTTCTAAAATCTTTGGCTACTCTTCCCCTTTTTTGTATTTGGGGAGCAAACCCAAAAGCAAAAATTTTAAAACAGAATATATTTTTTCCCTTTTTTCAATCGGAAAATTTTAAACCCCATATAAATTTAAAGCACCCATCCAAAAAATCGTCTTCTTTTTTTTACCACTTTGAACAGTTTTTTGGCCCTGCAATTGCAGCTGGGTGTTTTGGGTCGAAGTATATTGACTTTAAATAATCATCCCCTGGAGCCATGTTTACTGCTGAGTGTCCAAGGTAGAAATGAAATGCATATAACTATACGTACCTATAAATTAGTTTTCAGATGTCTTCTCATCGATGTCACTTTCTTCCTCGTCACTTTCTTCATCATCAGTAATTTCAGTCTCAAATAAATTTTCAAACTCTTTATATTTTTCCAAGACTTTTGCCCCGGGCTGAAGTTTTTTATAAACCTTTTTGAAATCAATTATTATCTGACCATAATGTTGCGGCATTTCATTTTTTCTAAGGGAATTAAAATTGTAAAATTAACAGTGTAATTATTTTAAAAAAACATTTTTTTCGTTTTTGCGAAACGTTTTCGTCACTTTCTTCTCCGTCATAAATAAATTTGTTTGTTTTTTGTCAATTTTTCATAATGATTTTTTTGGTAGTTCCTAAAAACAAACCTTTACTTCAAAGACCCTTTTGCCCGCTATTGCTTTTTTTTTCAAATGCTTTTTTCTTCGATTTGCTTTCGGGACAAAACCCACTTTTGACTATCTTTGATCATAAAAAGTTTAAAAAATTTCTTCAATGAAGTGGTATAACGGTTGCCCTCGTTTGTAAACCCCCCCCCATTTTGGATACAGTTGAATTTTAGAGCTGTGATTCTGTAATAACTCTTTCACCATCGTTGTATTCCCACAGGCTGAAAAAAGATGAAATTATTTTAGCACTTTTTTTAAATTAACAAAACCTCAGCATTTTTACCAAGCTTTGCAGAAAAACTTGAACTATTTTTATAAATTTGCACTCCAATTGTTTTAAAATCTATTAAAAATCATCACCAAAATATTCAGAGAAAGACTGTATTTTAGTCATAAAAATACTTCAGAGAAAAAAAAATGTTGAAAATATTTGTAGGTATGTATCCATACTTGTTATTAATTATGTTTAAAAATGTGATAAAATACCAGAAATATGTATATAAATACCTGTGGACCTGAAATCCTCATAGTAAATGGATGGTGAAACACCATGTTTTCTTTTTGCGGTAATGGTGGCGGTGATGGCGGAGGCAAAGTTGTTGTAACATGCGCTTTAGCATGCGCGCATTTTGCTCCATGCGCTCCTAAATGCGCTCCAAAATGCGCTCCATGCGCTCCTTAATGCGCTCACGGCGTTCCTAAATGCGCTCCTAAATGCGCTCCCAAATGCGCTCCCGGCGTTCCTAAATGCGCTCCAAAATGCGCTTCCCGCGCTCCCAAATGCGGTTCCGGCGCTCCTAAAAGCGCTCCTAAATGCGCGCATTGCATCATGTCTTGGTCTAATAGTCCTGGTTGTAACATTTCCGTATGTCGGCTACGTTTATGTCTTAACATG